CGCCGACATGGCAGACCCAACTGCAGACGCCGAACGGCTTTACGCTGCTTTTCTTCAAGCCTGGGAGGAAGTTGCGCATGGAGCAGATGTTGACGGGACCATGCACAGGATCGAGCAGGGAGCGCAGGCGTCGTCCTGCCGTTCTGACTGCATGCATCAATAACAACACTCTTCGTGACATAGACGGCATGGAGACTAAACAGGATTAAGGAACCATTTTCGAGGCTAGATACAGTGCTTGTGCTCATGTTCCTGTGAAAGTGCGTTGCCGTCGTTTGCTGGCTGAGTCTGCATCGGAGCACCATCAGTAGCATCTTGGATTGACAATCTTCGAATTTCGCTTCCTCTTCACTTGCTTATAGTTCGGGTCTGCTTCCGTTCCCGCGTCCCGAAGGCGTCATAGCGGCCATAAGCTGTTGCATTTTGTTTGACGAGCCACTTAGACTAGTCTTGAACCAAGAGAAGAGCAGGGAGAGCCTCCAAGGTTCCCCCTTGAGGCCTTAAGACCCGGTCCTTTCAAGATGAACTGAGACAAGAACAGCGCTGCTTCAGCGCCTCAGCACAGGTGGAGACCTCCAGTGGAGTTGGAGACGAGATGAGGACGTGTCTCCTTGAGCCGGAGGGGAGCGGGCGTACGCAATTCATAGGTGTTCGAGCTTCTTGTGTCGCAGGATGTCCTTGCGAGCACGAGACAAGAGCTGCGAAGCCGGCGAGAACGCGGTGGCACAGGACCCGGTCTTCCCACTGAAGTGCGCTAAGCCAAGCTATGTCCTCACAATGACCGCTTCAGCTTGCTTCGCATGCCATGGTGTCTTTGTGCGCGGCAAAACCCATCCAAGAGCCACAGGAGTCCTGCGAGGACGCAGCAGGCGCTGGGCGCCTTTCGCAAGGCTTCGAAAGGCTTCTGGAAGCGTGCCGGAAAGCCGGCAGCAAACGAGGTAACTCCTTTCCGAAGCTGACATTCAGGGCTGCCGGATGCAGGAGAAACAGTTTGAATAGCGGCGGAAGATCTTCCCATCAGAGGCATTACGGCCTGCATGCTGGCATATCCATCATCACCATTAAGCTTCGTCATTTTAACATCGCCATTGGCACCCCAAACATGAACCGCATCAGCCATATCGGCATCATCATCATCATCTTCTTCATCATCATCACCGCCACAGCACCATGAAGGAGAAAAAAAAGGACTCGCTGGGAAAATAGAGACACCGACTAAACGGGAGAGCTGTTCTTTTTTGTCCCAGCCACAGCAGCCGACGTTCCCATACCCGACTGCACCCAGGAAAACGACTTCCCCAGATGAGCGGATGGACATCGTGAAGGCTGGACAGGACGTAGTGAGACCATTTGTGTGAACGGAACTTGTACATACGGACATGTCCGAGAGTGTGTGCGTTCCACACGCGTGCAAGCTACGTTCAGGCATAGGGATTCATGACTGCCGGAAAAGGGCAGTATGCTCTGTGCTTGCCGCAAAGCGTGCGTTGGCAGATAGGGAAGCACCTGGTTGTCCGACCTCGTTTCAGATGCATGCCGCACCACGTGCCATTGTGAGAGTGTGACTGGCTTCTTTGCGAAACGGATACACTACGACTCCCTTGCTGCAGCAACCATGCAAAGCTGCGGCCTCTCTCCGTCGTCAGCGTCCCTCCTCCCCCCCGCTCTCTCTCTCTCTCTCTCTCTCGCTCTCTCTCTCTCTCTCTCTCTCTCTCCACATATGTGGTACATGTACATATCGTTGTGATGTTTGAGGGGTGCGCATGTACATTATGATATATGCAATCCCTCAATTCTCTGTTGCTCCTGGCCTCTCAGGCCTGGAAGTGGAAGCAGCTGGCAGGCCGATCTCGTTCTTTCTCAAAAACCAGGATTCAGAAATTCAGAAAATTTCAGAAGAAGTTCCCTAATAATCTAATACGGATGCCGACAAAGTTTGTTTTGGGGGATTTCCAAGCTCCCAAAGAAGGAACCGTTCGTACCGTTAGTATGGGAGACCAACACGAGACCTGCAAACGTGGGAAAGCCTCCCGAAGAAAGCTCACAGCGCGGGCTTGTTCTCCCACTGAAAGAACATGTTTCTTTTGTTTGTGGAATGATGCTTGCTTGTATGTCTCTCACTTTGAGAAGTTTCGGGAAGTGATAACACGAGTGTACAAGGGGCTGTGAACCTGCACCTAGCTCGAGTCATGAAAAGCGATGCGACGTGATGGAATTTCTGACAAAAAGATGTCAGATAGTTGTGCAGCAAGGTGGAACTGTGTATTCGAAGAACTGACGTTAATCACCCACCACGTGAGTCTCCGGGCACTGCTATGCGGGAGCCGAAGAAGGAACTGAGGTTTTTATCGATGTGGAACTGTGCAACTTCTGTCCTTTTCTTGTGGGGTTTTGGGGCCTCGGATCCGAAATGGCCGCTTCGCCGGACAGGTGATGCCCACGCTGAGGACATGGCTACGTTTGTTCAGGCGCCCTCCCTGGCCTTTGTTCGGATTTCCGGCTGAAGGGCTCGAGGTTTCAAGCGAAGGCCTCCGCATTGAACGGGCGAGAACGAAAGAAGACCGCCTTTTAGAGACGTGACGGAGGAGTAGCTATCCTCAGCAAGAGCAAGAGAAGATTCAATCAGAACGAAGAAACAGCAACCGCAGTAATTACGAAACAATTGACCTGTTTGCCCAGCTTCCAGGCCCTCTTCGACTGTGCGGATCTCCAGGGTGGCCTGGAGAACAGCGCTGCTTTGCAGAAGATGGGTATTTGCGGGAAGCAACCTGAACCAGAACTGTTTGATCACCGCGACTCGAGGACGTCGACCTGATGCGGGCTCAAGTCATGGAGCACTGGCATCTCTGAATACGACGTAAGGGACCGAGTCAGACTCGCCCCAGAGTTTCGGAGAGCTGAACTCAGGCAACTCCTCACTGAGGGCATCTCGGCCTCGAAGCTCCCAGGACTCTTTGGGTCAGGGGATGGGGGGGTCTCTGCGTGTCGCTTCCGCTTCCGCCAGCGTGGAAACCGAGGAGCCGCTCTCGCCTGTTTTTGTCGGCTGTCGGCCTCGTCTCGCAGGAGAGCGACTCGGCGGAGCCAACTTGGCGACGTCCAAGGCCGAGGCCTTCGGCGCCTTCCACTGCGAGCTTTGCTCTGCTGTTTGCTTTTTGGATGCCCTCGAGCAGGCAGCAAGCTCCAGAGAGGGCGTCGTCGGACATCCCCGGTTGGCGCCAGTCGAGCCCTGACAGCCGTAGGCCATTGCAGGTGCTCGCAGGTGCACTTCTGCCTCTGCCTGTCTTATCATTGGTGTGAGCTCAGGAGCAAGCGGGCGATGTCGGTGCGACTGATGACAAGGCCGATTGCACTTGTTACCTTCGCTTCTTCCGCGCCTAGCAAAGTAAAGTGCATTCATACCCAAGCATGCCTTGTCTGGGTCTTGTCATGAAACTACCGCCTTCTTGCTACCGCCTTCTTGCTATCAGTTCTCCGACCAGCTAATCTCAAGATCTTGGCCCTACTGTAGGCTGTTCGCACTGGCAGTTCGGAAAAAGTGCCGCCCCGTATTTGAAGGAGTCGATTGACCAGTACTAAATTGATTCTTCAGCGTTCGTTCAACTCTGTGTCAGGAGAACGCCTCATTGAGTGCGAGTGCTCAGACTCATAATCTTTCGCATGGCCCAAACGGCTCACTGCACAACTCATCCAAAATCTGTAAGCCCAGTGACCTAGTAGAACAGCTTTCGGCTAAAGCCAACAGCTACAACTTTCCAAAGCGCGTTGAGTTTGAGGTCAAGCTACTTGAGTCGTGAAGATAGCTCCTAGATAGTCAAGCCCACCTTCGCTAAAAGTGTGCTTGGGTGTTTGCGCTTGAGCTTGTTCGCATCAATGCATGCAAGGTTTCTGGTCGATGTGTGATGGCTCGGATGTCGGACTTCTCGATGTTTGTCCACCCAGAACAAATGGCCGTTCCCTAGCGACTTCGGGCTGAAAAGGAAAGGAGAAATGATGCGGGGCATGCGGCTGGCGGTTGACTGCTCATGAGACTCCCGGGTGCAAAACGGCATGAGAAGTCCGTTTGGTGATGACTGTTTTTGCTGCCTTTCATTGAGTTGCAGAACACACGCGACCTCCTCGCAGACTCTAAGAAACACTCCAACCCGTAGCTGGAGTACCCCGAACTATATACGGCACCTCGCAGTTCTCAAACAGCCTCCTGGCCGCTCTGCGAGGTTCCTCCGGATCCTGACGGCAAGCCATCGCCGCAGCCACAACTTGCCACTCTGTCGCAGCAACCGACACAGCCCTTCATGCAAAACAGTCGGCCCAAGCATAGTTTTCGAAATCTTGTGTGAACCCTCAAAAGCCATGTCATGTTGCCAGCACTGAACCCTGCGGATTCCTAGAGTCCTGGACCCTCCATCCTCTCGCAGACCCCACCCATTTGGGACCAGATAGTTCCAGTTTGGGAGAAAAAGTTCTTCCTTTTGCCCAAGCTCTGCCGAGCGCCCGGGTTTTCCCAAGCCCTAAACTTTTAAAGGTTGCTGGGTCAACTGGCTTGCAGCAAAACCCCGGCAAATTGAGGCAAAGAGGGTTTTGAAACAGGATTTGGTTTATTCACGGGTTTTGAAAAACACTCGCAGATCTTCGCTCAGATCTTCGCAGGTTCAGCTCGGGCCGGAGGTCTTCAGAACGAGCTCCAAGCTGCTCAGAGAGCTCAGCGACCTCTTCGAAAACGCCTGGGCGCGGCCAGGCCGGTTTTTGGGGGCTCCTCCCATTCTCACAAACAAGCATAGGGATCATTATCATTGTCATTATCATTATTATTCTCATTGTCGATATCAGTATCAGTATCATTATTTGTGCACCTACCCACCCAGTTAGCCATCCACCTAGCTTTTGCTGCCACACCTCGCGCTGGTCAGTGCTGTCGGCCGCAGGCGCCGACTTCCAACCAGAAGTGGTGCCACTGGGCTGCCATGTGTCACAGCGTCGCAAGCACGCGACGATCTGTTTGTCTGCGTGTCTGCAAGAGAAGTGAAGCGTCTGTCTCTTCTCCTTCATTCTTAGGCCTACTAGGCTTACCTGGACAGTGGCCAAGGGACCCAGGGAGGCTTTAAGCGCTGTCTCCCGAGGAGCATTTGCGAGATCTGGAAGCGAAAGCAGCTGAAGCTCCATGCTGGAGCACCTGGCTTGGAGAAGCCTGGCATGGAAGATGCGCGGTGTGTGTCTTTCAGTGCGCACGTGGCTTCTGCGGCTTGCATCGCAGAGTACTCCAGGACATGGATTGATGCGGTGCTGCATTCTGTCAACACGGCGCCTTGGCAAAGAAGGACGGAGCAATATAGAAGGAGGCGGTGAATCAATGGGCGCAGACAGGGAATGGCGAGAGAGAAAGAGGAGAGAGAGGCGTGTAGATTTCTGTCTCTGCGCCGAGTCTGTGTTTGCATGGCCTTGCATGGCCTGTTTACCATCATCATCCTACTCGTAAATCGGTTCGTTGGTTTTGCGAATGTTCTCGGATATTCCGAGGCTTTAGAGCTGGAGGCAGGGACGGCGGAGGGGACGTTGCGCGGCGATGTGGACACCGGCCCCTCGCCCTTGTCGCCCCATGCCTCGCGGTCTCGCGCATTGAGCCCCGACCAGAGCTGTCTGAGGTCGTCTTCAAACGAAGCTGCAGGCAGGCGCCCGCGCACACGTGTGTGAGCAGAGTCACTTTTGGAACCGCATCCGTACTCTTGCTGGCACCCGCGGTTCGCTCAGGAAGCTGTGCAGAAACACATCCCGGCCGCACTGAAGGCCAGCCAAAAAGTGTTCCTGCTTTGGCCTTTCAACGTGCCTTTGCATGGTGCAAACAGCTGCAAAGGCCACCCCGAAGGAGAGGTGCTTGCCCCAGAAGTTTGGAAGCTCGTGGGAAGCTGGCTGAAGAGGGTTGGAGGTCCCATAGTTCTTGCTTATGACACGTACTGAGAGATGTTAGAAGCTGTTAGCATGACGGCGTCTGCCACAGCTGTCTGCCGTGAAGAAAGTCTGCATTTGAGACGAGGGCAGTTGTGTTGACGGACTGCATCGGCGATCCCACATCCACATTCATCTCGATAGGATTCTGATTCCAGCCGAGTGTTGCTTGGAGTCGGGAGGCATTCAAGGCCCCTGAGGCTTGGAAACAGACGTTAGTGACACCTCTGAATCAGGTCCACCTCCTCCAGGCAGCCCGCAAGGCCAGCGGGTAAAAGCGCGCCCTCTCGGCGTCCCTTCGGGGCAGCGCCGCTCCCGAGGCTCCGGGAGAAGAGGAACCGAGCCTTGCTGACGGCCGGGGACCTGCTCACGCAGGCGCCGCAGGCTTTTTCTCTGCCGACTCCGATAAATGAGTTCAAAACTCCTTTGTAGCTGGAGGAGAAGTGATGATCGGATCAAGTGCTCCTTGCCGATCTGACAGCCTTGAATTGAAAGACCCTCGACGTGTTACGCTCCAAGACGGAGCCCGACACCGACACCCAGAGCGCTGAAGTCCTTGACAAAAACCTGGGCACTTCCTGCTTTGGCAGGGCATTCGAGGGATTCCCAGGTGCTGGATCAGGACGGTAAGTCTTCACCCGGTTGCCGATTCCGCGTGTAGTAAAGTTCTGGCGAAACGGACTAGCATCTCACACCTACACCTGCGATGCACTTCCTTGTGTCAGTCCCCTTTGAACTCCCTACAACCCTAAGCCGCTGAATTTGCGGGAGAGTCAGCGAGTCAAGCCCCGTCCATTGCATTGCGGCTCGGGTGCAAAGGGGCAGAGTGCAGCAGAACGGCACATGCTCGGCCCCCGGGTGGCAAAGAAACGCAGCTCCGGGAGGCAAGTGACTGCTGCAAGTGCTTCTCCATGCAAGCTGCGAAGTGCCTGAAAGGAGTACATATGCATGTATACAAAAATACACACAGGTAGGTATGTATGTATGTATGTATGTATGTATGTGTATATATATATACACACACCATTGCGTCTAAAGATCCTTTTTTTACAATTTTGTAGATCCCCTGTTCGCTTCATGTTTGTTTGATCCTTGTTTTTGTTGATCCGTCAGCCCAATGGTTGTGGGTGTTTCTTTGTTCTGCGGGTGTTTGGTAGAGAAGTGGGACTCAAGGCTCAACAAGTGGTTCTCTGGCTTTGTAAGGCTGTGGAGCTTCTGGATCTTAGGAGATTCTTCGTGCCAGGTTTTGCGGCTTCTCCTCCAGGTGCCATGGAAGACTCTGAGGAGCGGAGTGCCGAAGAGCTGGAGCTGGAGGCCCTGCCCCTGGAAGGGCCTTGCGTAAGGGGTTTGGGCCTTGTAGAAGCCCCAGCCAGGCGGAGATCCGCATGATTGAGCTTGACATCGCTGCCTTTGACAAGAAGGATTCTGCTAGTAGACGGCTTCCTCCGCCAAGCTGCGATCCTTCTCCCGGGCTCCAATGAACAGCAGAAGATGTGAATTTCGCTGCCCAGCTGAAATCTCTGCCTTTTCGTTAGGAGGCTCAGCGCCGCGCGCGAGCAGCCTTGCGCGACGAGCTTGAGGTGCCAATTGTAAGGTTGAAGATTTCGGTACCAAACGCCCGCTCTTGTCAAACTATTGACGCTGACATTTAGACTCTGAACAGGTTTCGGCGATCTTCCCTTGCCAAGGGACTTACGCAAAGGCTTTAAGGTACCTAAATTTGGGATTTATAGACAAGCTTGTTTCCTTATTACAAGGTGAACCAGAGTCCTTAACAAGAACCCAGTCTTAAGAGATGTCCATCCATTGTCGCGACAGGCTCAAGAGCAGCTGCTGGAAGCTTGGCAGGCGATTTGCATAACCCGAGAGCGTAGTAGCACTACCACTACTACCACTACTACCACGACGACGACGACGACGACTACTACTACTACTACTACCACCACTACTACTGCTACTAGCCGCAAAGTAACAAAGAAGCAGCAGTAGCAGCAGTAGTAGGAGGAGGACGAGGAGGAGCGGGAG